TATTGGAGTTTTTGTCACCTTGATTGGATTTTACATACAGAAAAAATATTTTAGATAATCTGCTTTATAAAGTCATGTATTCTCTTTTCTTTTTAGAACAAACCTCATTCTGAATGAAGTAGTAGCTGATTCTTAGGGTCAACGTTTTTCTCAACATTGTCTCTACTTACAGTTCTAGATATCTGGAGCTTGAACTTGGGCATTCCTCCAATTTTCACTTCATCTTTTCTAATAGTAAGGAGAAATCCCACTAACGGGAAATGCATGCTAATGTAATTAATGTGTACTTGATGCAAACCTGGAATATATCTCACTTGATAAAGTCCCTTTAGAAAGATGCTTTATAAAGAAATATGAAGAGTTTGAGCTCTGAGCAACAGCGGTTCGAGTCCAGCCCGAGCTGAGCAGCCGCTGAGCTGCCAACAGGCAGCAGGATGGCTCAGCTAAAAAAAAAAAAAAAAAAAAAAAGAAATATGAATAATGTCAACATTAAATATAGATTCTATTAATTGTCCTGTAATGGTGATGGTCATATTCACATACCATAAAATCAAGTGAGATGTTTGTTAGAAGATAGAATGATTTGTATTAATCTACTGATATTTGTCATATCCTTCCATTAGCTCTCTTAATTCTATTCATAGCAATTAGATGCAGTATTTCCAACAACATTCAAAATTCTTACTAAAAATCCAGTGACATTTTCTTTTATACTCTGCCCTATCCTATCTTATCCTATCCTATCCCATTCTCTAGTCTCCTCTGCCCTAATTTTTGTTTAAAAAATTAAGTCTGGTTGTGACTCATTAGCGTATTTCAGAATCTACTAATGCATTGTGTCTTGCAAGTAGATTGAATAATGCTGACATAGATAATAAATATACAAACAAATATGAGAAGTTCAGAGAGTCGTAGTGCTATAGAAAATACATAAATAAATAATGGAATGGAATTAAGAGGTGACAGGGTAGGAGTTAATTTTGCCAGGGTGGTCAGGGAAAGCTTCTTGGAGGAGGTGACACTGAATTGTGTTCTGCATAGTTTAGGCTACTGATATGACTCTGTTCTTTAGCATTTATGGGTAGTTTGAACTATATTATTTGAAATGTGCATATTATTTCCTAGTTGTTTTGCATATAGTTGGTGATTCAGTTTTGTGCTGTGTATAAAGTAGATGCTGGCCAAATGCTAGCTCAAAGATGACTGTTGAGAATCACCATAATCCAGGGCCTACATCCTCGTAGGTGGAGCAGATGAGAGCCTATGCCAGGTGGTGAGGGTTGTGAAGGCTCTTGAATCCATCTGAATAGCTCCCCATTATTGCCTGTCCCTGAAATTTCATAATTAGAAATTCACTCCTTTGTCTTTAAGTCTTTATCAATTAAGTCTTAACAACCATTTGTGCCTCCATTGAATGAGTATAATTTCTATGACACGAGTCATGGTTGAATTTACAAAGCGGAGTTGGCTTAGTTAATCCTTCCAAAGCACCAGTCCTGCAGTCTGGAGAGTGGATACCAGGTGCTCAGGGCTGCCTGTGTGGACAGGAGGCCCTGCTGGGATCCTCAGGCCCCACTAATGGAGGGGGCCAGCAAAAAAACATGCCCAGGGCAGGTGCCTGATTAATGATTTAGGGTTAAAGTAATGGTATGAAGAGTGACTGACCATTAATCACCCACATTTACATACTAATTTTGATCTTTTTGCTTTTACAGAAGTACAATACCAAGGCACAAATTGGTTTCCTCTTTTAAATCTCAATTATCATCAATTTTGCTCCATTTACTCTAGACTTGGTTTGATTCTCAACCCCACAGAGGATTCTCTCTGGTTTTACTGGTCGGATCAGCACAGAAGCCTTCCAAGGCGAGGCAGCTCTGGCTTTGTCTGGCCCTGGGCCTGGCGGTCTGGCTCCAAGGCAAGAATTCCCAGGGGCTTGCTACTTCTGCTCTAAGACAAGCACAGGCCTTTCAAGGCCAGACGTTTCTGCCTATTGTGAAGCAGTAAAGAGAGAGGGAAAATCCTCCCCATTTCTTCCCCTCCCCCCTCACCAAAAGAAACCCCCAACTTTTCTCCTGGTGTTTAGACTCTAACATTGGTTTTCTCCCGTTATTTCTCACTTTCAAGAGCAACTTAGTCTGACATCATCCATTCCTTCCACTCCAAACTCTGGCCTTTAAAAGACGTCTATGCTTTTATTTATTTATTTTTAAAGATTTTATTGGCAAATTGGAGGAGAGGAACAGCGTTGGGGAATAGGGGAAGGGGAACAGATGAGTTGCTGTCCTTTTGTTCTTCAGTCTAGTTGTGGAGGACGCTGCTTCACTGGCCCACGTTGGTATTATCATTGCGCTCTTCCCGGGTAAGGCAGTTGCTCACTGGCCATTGGGCAGTCACTCACGGCAGCTCATGCTGGCTGCCAGCCATTCATGGTAGCTCACAGCAGCCCACTGCAGCAGGGGCTGCAGCCTATGCCGTTGGCAACAACTCATGGCAGTCCAGCTCCAGCACGAGCTGTTGTTCACCATGTTAGCTGTAGAGGGCACAGCATCACTGGCCCTCAAGTGGGATCTGAACCAGGGCCCTGCTGTTCAGAGCTGGCATCCCAAGCCAACTCTTAACCAATGCGTCACTCGGCTGGCCCATGTCTATGCTTTTTGACAAACAGTTTTGGGAAAGCTGGATATCCACATGCAAAAGAGTGAATTTGAACCTTTACCTTACACCATATACAAAATTAACTCAAAATATGTCAAACATCTAAACTTAAGAATTAACACTATAAAGCTCTTCGAAGAAAAATAGGAGAAAAGCTCAACACTGGATTTGGCAATGATTTCTTGAAATGACACCAAAACACAAGCAACAAAGGAAAAAACAGATAAATTGGACTTTATCAAAATTAAAAACGTCTGTATCAAACGACATAATTAACAGAGTGAAAGCGCAACCCACAAAAGGGGAAAGATATTTGTACATCGTATATCTGATAAGGGGTTAATATCCAGAATATATAAAGAGCTACAACTGAACAACAAAAAGACAAGCAACCTGATTTAGAAATGGGCAAAGGATTTGAATAAACATTTCGCCAAAGAAGATATGTAAATAGTCAGTAAGCACATGAAAAGATGGTCAACATCACTAATCATTAGAAAAATGCAAATCAAACCACAATGAGATATCACCTCAAACCTACTAGGATAGCTACTATCAAAAAAACAAACAAACAGGGCCGGCCGAGTGGCGCGATGGTTAAGAACTCGCTTGGGATGCCAGAGGGCCCCGGTTTGGATACCACATATGAGGGCCAGTGATACTGCCCTCCACAGTTAAGATACTAAACAACAGCTCAACCTGGA